AAGTAGGATTGTGTAATTGTCACACCCTATTCAGTGAAAGTACATAGCCTCGTTTTTCAGGATCACAAGAGGGTAAAAGAGCGATGCTAGCTGTGACTCGCCCTCGTTTCTGTAACGCTAAATCTTGAAGTCGTTCAAGCGATCAACCCGCCTCCGCCCCTTGCTCCCCCGATAGCCTTTCTGCTTATGTGCACTTTTATTATGCTGCCTTTTTCGTGGCCCTCACCTTTACTAGAGCTTAAATTACTTTTAAATCGTTGGTATGACGACTTTATATACTTTATGAATGATTATTATGTTATGATGTAGTTAATTATTAGTTAGTAATTTATCAATTAAAAGCGGCCATGACACATGGCCAAATTATTACCTCAGCAGGTTGCTGTCTTTATTTTAAGCGCTCTAGCAAACAGAGCTCGACTGTTGGCTTAAATCAGTCGTTTAGTCAATATGATTGAAAACCACTCGATGGAAGGGGACATAGATATTGTATAAACTGATTGCAGTTCCAATTTTTTTAAAATTATATCTGCATATCTGAATCGTTTTGCAGGAAGAGTCGTTTTGACACAGAGGCAAAAGGCAACTCGGAAATGGCCTATTATGATATATATGTTTAAGACCAAGAGATTATCAAGGTAGTCTCTTGATTACGCTTAATAGTTACAATCGATCTAGCCTGTAAACATCCGCCCCTTCCGTCCCCAGGAAAACGCAAAGCCGGCATTTTCAAGTTCCCCCGGTTTGAAGAGCGTTTTCGAAAAGCTCCGTTTTCGTGACGGATTAGTGTGAACGGTAGGCCTAACCTTAGAAATAAGGCTGAGTTTCATATTTCTCTCGTAGTGTGGACGGGCCTCAGTTGCGCTTTCCCTAAAGGAAACATGCCCCGTCACTATAGTTTTCCACATCATTCTTCCCCGCATTTTGTTGATTACTGAAGCAATTTTAAAACTTCACAAGTGAAACACTCAGCTGATCATCAACTCTCATTTGATGAAGATATCCGCCGCAGTTTGGAAATGTGACGTTTTGATCGCCAGCCCTTCGCCGGCCCAAAATGAAGGCTTGTGGGTTGTCAAAGTTGAAATACTCAAAACTTTCGAGAGCGTGTTTATGTCTTTTATGATTCGTAGTAAAGGAGCTTATTCCTTAAATTTTAGTAACTGTTAGCTAAAAAGGAGGTAACCTCGTTACTCCTGTCTCTCGTTACCCATGTTTTGCCAACGGCTTCTCTGATGTGCGTTGAAACAACAGGGTGGGCCGGGTTACTTGAGTCGGAATTTTAGGTTTTAACCAATAATGACGGTCTTTTAAGCGTAAGGTGATAACACATGATTTGGAAATAAAGAGCCGAATAGCTTCCTAAACATTTTGTTGTTGTTGTTGTTGGCGGGAGTGGGCCTTTGCCATCTTTGGCATCATATCTTCCACATATAACAAACTGACCATGGGAATCGATGTCCAAAAAGCAGGTGTAGTCGCCAACAAGCTCCTCGTCGGTACGTGTTCGCCGCTGTGATGAGTTTGTCTTTGTGTTTGCCGAGATCTTTCAGAGCTGCCGTGTCCTCTGGGATGGGCTAGACAATTCATTAGTTAGTATTGTGCGCAAGAAAGTTGAGTTTTTTAATGACACAGCGGTATTTTTTTTTTCAAAGTCAAAGGAAACGAACTCACCATCTGTAGGAGGCATTTGTATTTGAAAACGCTGAGCATTTCAAAATCTCTCTTCAAGTCGTCACCGTCTTCATTGTCACAAAAAAAACAGACCTAAACTATAGGCACTTGAGGAAACAACCTTGTTTCAACAGTGGACAGCTGTTTCGTCCTTATTGGGACTTCACTATATCAAGTTCCGTACTTTGAACTCACTTGTGAGTTCAAAAGTACCAAGTACCAAATACCAACATCACCACTCTATTGTGATGTTGGCATCGTCACGCGTTGCCACATCTCGTGTTTCGGGGCGCAAGGAGATAAAGCGTTGCGCGACGAGTCCTAATAAGGACGAACCAGCTGTCCACTGTTGCGATCCTGTTTTATCGGTTCTTGTCATGCTGGTGTCTCGAAACGTCTTTCATTTAGTATCAGCCTTGCAGTCTATTGTTTGTCGTAACAAATTTTTTTGGCTGATCAGATCTCTTGTAGATCCTACGTAGGCAGCGTTTATCTTATGCCGTCCCTTGAAGTTTCTGAAATCCAATATTGCGGCGGCTTAATTATGATGCTTTAATTCTTTAGAAAGCTACACATGCTAGAAAACACACTATTTTTCCAATGCATTGACAGGATGATTTCTGTTCGCTCCAATTTACTCCGATCTAAATCGATTTAAGTTCGAACGGCAAACGTCTAACCTCAAACTCCAGTTAGACGCTTGCGGTAAAGGTGGATCTAAAGGTCTCTATAGCTAAATCTTCGCGCGAAAAAGAGCTACGTATGTGGGGGCATCCCTTGACGACAAGGGAGGCAAAGAAGAGGGAGTCTGGGATCGAGGTTGCAAATATAGTTCGTCCTGATCCACGTGTCAATGATAGTAGTTGAGGTAATCCTTGAGGCTTCTAGGGAGGGGTAGGAAGGGAATCTTGTCTGCTGGAGGGCGTGCCAGTTGCTGTCGGATGCAAAGGCGGCAGCTTTGAAGCAGTCTGGGCGGAGTTTCTGGTAAAATTGATCAGACGTATGTAAATATTGATCACAATAAAGCAACATGCAAAATGAAACACTTACAAGCGTTCATTTATATAACGAATATATTAAAGGCTGCCAACTCCTTGGGTTCATTTTACTAAACAAAACAAATTATCTAAGGATTAATTACTGGAAATTCAATTTCATCATTTACTAGAATAGGCCATATTCGTATTCTTGGTATTAGATTGGAACTAGCTTGCAACTGAGGCTAATGCAGGGAGTCTTTTCAAAGGCAAATGACATTAATCTCTTTTTAATGATATTATCCCGCATGAGCCTCCATTCCAGTCCAATACTCAGAATACGACTACGGCCTATTGTGAAATGAGACATTGACTTGATATTTAGGGGATAGGGGTGTGGGCTGGGGCGGGGGGGTTCCTATATAAAAGTAGATAAGACTGTGGACAATATCCCTTAAAAGAACCACAATCTGTATTCTGGGTATCTGGCTTGACTCTATTTTAACCCCTGAGACATAGATTTAACGGGAACCCTTCTCTTGCTTAGTGAATAATGACCAGCTGGCTGAGAGCCATATCCGAGACAAAAATAAGTTCTGAAGAAGTTGTTTCTGTTTATTTGCAGTTTTCTTTTAAAATGTACCCTAACATAGAAACTGAAAAAAAAAAAAAAAANTGGTGGCATCCCTTGACGACAAGGGAGGCAAAGAAGAGGGAGTCTGGGATCGAGGTTGCAAATATAGTTCGTCCTGATCCACGTGTCAATGATAGTAGTTGAGGTAATCCTTGAGGCTTCTAGGGAGGGGTAGGAAGGGAATCCTGTCTGCTGGAGGGCGTGCCAGTTGCTGTCGGATGCGAAGGCGGCAGCTTTGAAGTAGTCTGGGCGGAGTTTCTGGTAAAATTGATCAGAAGTATGTAAATATTGCTCACAATAAAACAACATGCAAAATGAACCATTTACAATCGTTCATTCAAATAGCGAATAAATTGAAGGCTGCCAACTCCTTGGGTTCATTTTACTAAACAAAACAAATTATCTAAAAATTAATTACTGGAAATTCAATTTCATTATTTACATAAAAGTAGATAAGACTGTGGACAATATCCCTTAAAAGAACCGCAATTCATATTCTGGGTATCTGGCTTGACTTTATTTTAACCCCCGAGACATAGATTTAACGGAAACCCTTCTCTTGCTTAGTGAAAAATAACCAGCTGGCTGAGAGCCATATCCGAGACAAAAATAAGTTCTGCAGAAGTTGTTTCTGTTTATTTGCAGTTTTCCTTTAAAATGTACCTTAACATACAAACTGAAAAAAAACAAAAAAACAGTCAGTGCTGTTAAGAGGGCCCCTCTCAGAATTTTTTGTAGATACTAAACAGACTTATGGCTACTAGGTTGAAAGCTTTTTTTACTAGTTTTATTTACATACCAGCTTTAGTCTGAAGTATCTTTCTGCACGCAGTATCAGTAGCCAAGTCTGCAGGTCTTTTACTCTGCAAGTTTCTCTGGTAAACATTTGCTCCGTAATCTATAAGCAGTGAGGTGCAATCTTCATATCCGCACAGAGCTGCAGTATGTAAAGGAGCTTGGTGTCTTTTAATGGCATTAGGATTGGCCCCAGCATGAAGTAAAATTCTCACACATTCCATGTAACCTCGAAGGCAGGCAACATGCAAAGCTGTTCCAAATTGATTCTCCGATTTCTCTAGGTCAGCACCCATCTCCATTAGTATTTCTAGGCAGTGAACGTGTCCATTTAATGCTGCCTCATGTAGTGGTGGGAAGGTCACTGTCAATGAAGGATTCACTTCAGCCCCAGCTTCTATTAAAAGATGAGCACACTTTAATGATCCTTTGGCACATGCAAAACACAGTGGGGTACTTCCATCTATGTTACGTGCATTTACCTGTAAAAATAAATGAAGAACAACCAAAGTAAGGTTTAACTTTTGTTCACTGTAGTGCAACAGTCTAACAGTTGGCAGGGCCATTTTACTCTGACATGTTGTGTTCTTTATCTTCTTCTGGAGCATAGCCTTTTAAAAGGTAGCCTGCATTGCAGCTGGATGTGTCGCAAAATCCCTGGTATAGTCCTGACTATACCGGCAGGAACATTCACTTGGCTGATGCCCTACTCGTCCTGAACCTGACCAGTTAGCCTACTCACATGCTACACAAAGATAAATGAGTAAAATTTGTGATTGGGAGGTTTGGTGGTCTAATGGTTAGTGTGCTGGATTTAAGATTGAGCAGGCCAGGTTCAGGCCCTGGCAGGGGTCACATTGTGTTGTGTTCTTAGGAAAGACACTTAACTAAAACAGTGCCCCTCTCTGTGCAGGTGTATTTATGGGCATTAATGAATAACTTCAATGCTGGGAGTAACCCAGTAATGGACTAGCATCCCATCCTGGGGAAGTAGAAATTCTCCTTGTGACTTCATGCTTTTGAAACTGGAAATAAGTAATAGCCTATGGGCCAAAATGCTGTGCCAAAACGCCAAGGCTCAAACAAAGACATAAGACCCTTTTGATAGTTTGCAAAAACTATGGCAAATTAATGTTGCAAGGGAGGGGGAGAAAGGGGGGAAGGTGGGAAAGGCAGAGAGGCAGTGAGCTCATCAATGATTCAATCACTCCAAGTTATCGGAACCATATTGTCATTCGATCAGACACTCTCATGTCCAAACATCAAGATCCTCTACACATCATATTACAAAATGGGTTTGTCAGAAATGCTGCTAAGTGAAATACTTGTATGATATTTTTTGGTTACCTAACTTTTGCATTTGTTCCTTGATATAAAGAAAAACACTGATGTTCTTATCTGTATGAAGGGTGGGAAGGGTGGGGATATTTCTGTCATGTTTATCTATAGTTTATCTATATTCTATAGTTCAGTCTTACTAAGCTGTTTTAAATATTTCCTTGTGTTTGGTTTGCATATTTGGGGTAAAAAGGCATTTTGGGGTGAAAAAGCACTTTCAAGCAATATTGAAGATCTAAGACTTTCATTATTTTAGGTTGGCATCACAGCCCTAACAGATTAACCTCCTGATATGGCCATCTCACACTATACACTGCTGCTAACTAAATTATTGACATGTCCGTGATAGCTGCATGCGTTGGCCATAATTCCAGGCTCTACAGCAATAATACATACATTAGCTCCTTCGGCAATCAGGACATCTACCACCTCAGGATAACCACCAAGACACGCTTCATGCAAAGGTGTCATAAGATCAACAGTTCCACCATTGATATGAGCTCCAAAAGAAACCAGCAATTTTATAAGCTCAACATCTCCACGTCTTGCTGCAACATGGAGAGCTGTTTGCTGATTGTGTGGGTTAACAAAGTTCACAGAGACTTCTTTACATGCCAGCAAATTCTTTATGTATTCTAGTGAATGACTGTTATCTCTGATCGCTTGCAAAAGAAACTCATTCGAGTCCATCATTTAATTGAGCTGGAGAAAAACAAGATATAGATGTCAGACTTTATAAAATGATTGAAATACTGCATGCATTCTTATTGGTCGATAAATGTGTTTAGATTAGAGTACAAGTATGTAAAAATGGTTGTCATGTTTTAGATTTGCACGTTTTTTACAAATACTTTATAAAAGCAATAGAGTACTTTTTCTGTGTTAACATAGCCTCATCTAGAAACTTGCGCTGTTGGGAAAATTGCTGAAAGTTATGCAAACCTGAGATGGATTCTAGGGTTTGCTCAACAGTCTTGAATTTTTCCAACCCCCTTGTGTTTAGATGAGGCTATGTAAACACGGAAAAAGTACTCTACTGCTTAAATACTGGACAGAACAACATAAAATTGTATCTGTTTTTTTTTTTTAAATATGCATTATGCATTAAAAAAAAAACAAAAACAAAAAGAAACAAACAAAAAAACAACAGATACAATAATATTGTCAATCTTATGTCTTGCTGTAGTCAATTAAGGAAAATATCGTGTTCCAATGTGATACTAATGGTATCATATCGGTCCTCCTAGGAGCGGAGGACATTTCACAAGAAAAAATACCGCCTTTGATTATTAAGTCTATGATCAGGCGAGACTTGCATCATTGTCATGTAAAGTTGCGGCTTGCGGCATCTTGTTGAAGGAAACGCTTCAAAGTTCTTTCTTACATCATGTGTCTTTTTGAGTGTCCGTGCAAAGCAGCAATCACCTCAAGACTTGAGCTAACGGAAAATCTTCGATTATTTCCTCAATCATTTCCGAGTGTATTCTTGAAAGCGACAATGGGCCATTTCCCGGCCCTGATTATCAACAAGGCCTGGTCACAAAGTAACATAACAATAAACACCCTGTAGAGTGGGGACAGTATTGATACTCAGTCAAAAAACCAGGGCAAATAACTAGGTTGCTTTATAAGCATTTCCTAAGTATTTTTTTTTTTAAATAAATAGGTCTAGGTCTATTGTTTTACAGTTGTAGGATAGAAGGTTTCAGGGTAGTTTTGGCAAAATCAGAAGCTGTCGACTCATCTCAACCTACCCCGTGGTGGCGCAATTTTCATTCCCGCGCTTGAGTAGAGTAGCACTTGATCAGTCTCACGCGGTCGTGTCGCAACGCCATAAGATGCGGAGAGAAGGACAAGAGGAATGCAGTGATTTCTAGCGAAAAGTCGTTTATCAAGACCGTATAAAAGTCATGAGGAGCAAAGTTAAGGACAAGTCAACTGTTGTGCAATTATTTGAGGAAAATGTTTGCTCCGAAGGGGTTGAAATCAGACAAGGGTCAAAACATTGATCGAGTAGGTTTAGCTCCAGACGGTTCAAGCTCAGAGTTTTCCGAAGATGACACTCCGCTCGCCGTACGTTTGAATTCGCAAGGAGGTGATGCAGAAAAGCAGCGTCCACGGGCTGCATTATCCAAGAAAGTGGGGTTTGTCATCCCACGGAAAAAGAAACAGGCAAATGGTACGAACTTTCATGTGACTTTTTGATTACGTTGGCTGTACATTTCGCAAACATGTGTTTACAAGTCGTGTTCGTTGAGTTCAAATAATCATAATTAAGACTTAAACTAAGCTTAAACTACTCTGTTTTATCTCGGTTAATCACTGCTCATTTTTCAATTGCCCTGCCTTTTAGAACTTCTTCAAGTTTCCAATTTCAATGCGAGAGAGGGGAAGGAACTACTTCGACATGTCATACAGTCGTATCGAGACACTGCGGTTGGAGCAACGTTCAAATTCGAAAAGCTAGAGCTTGTTCACAACGATCAGCTTTCTCGCGAGGTAAAGAATTCAATGTTTTACCCTAACTGCTACCGAAATAAACCATGAAGTCATTTTTACATCACTTTGCAATACTTTAGCTCGTCTTTTGCCTTGTTTAGTTCCAGGACAAAAAACAACACATGCGAACTGACGAAGGGCGAAATGCCAGAGAACTTGAAGATAAATTTGCGTTCCTTTACACCGTTGACCGGGACGAGGTTTGTATCTAGTTTTATTTTTAGAATTCTACATAACTTTACGACGATTACTCGTTTCATTTTCGTGTTTCAACTTACGTGCAGTTCTTTGATCTGATTTCCCCCATGCAGTGAAATAAATGGTTTGTTTGATCAATGTAGTAATTCTTAAGTACGATGTTTTTCCAGGAAATTCTCTCGGTTTATTAATTCGAAGGGTAAAAGTTAAAGTAAGCTTCCCTCTAGCTATAAGCCGTCCCTACTAATGCGAAACATTTTGCGGAAAGTTTGTTGGTGTTTTACAGATTTACATAAATTGTGGAGTAGTGTGATACACGAGGACAACGCGTTATAAACGTGAGATTTGCTGGTTATTATTGATTTTATTGGGAAAAGAATGGCATTGTGCGTTTCCAGTTTTTGCCTGGCGTTAAGATTCAGGAATATATACCGACTGCTGGAGATAAGATAGGCAATTTTGATGTGTTCATTCTCAATTCGCGACCGTGGAATACAATTTTTTTTGTGTGGGTATGATGAAAAGAGTAACGCATGTATGTGAAATTCGATATCACACACATCTGCCTGTTGATTGTCTGCTAAAGGAAAGAAGTACGAATTATGTCACAAATTTGGAGTTTTAACTAAAGCATTTATATTGTGACTGAAAGCTTGGAGTAACATGTAATGTTTTGAGAGTTTAATCATTTTGTAGAAACGCCTTCTATTTTAATTTGTTCCAAAAAATTCTGTTCTTCAGATGGTTGTAAGGAAGATATGTGTTTACAAACACTGGTTTTGTTATTCAAAGTCCCAGACAGGAAATCAAAAGAATTCTTTGTTTCAGCAGCAAATAGTTCTCAGGTTGGCACAGTAATAAAAATAGGTGATGGCACAGATATCTTTGCTGTAGATGGTCACCTGTACCAGGAATTGAATCATGCTATTCCCTCCCCCCGAAACAAAAACAAAAATTCAATGAACATTAGACGAGCATTTCCTTAGCACAAGGAAATGCATTATTAGATACTTTAAGCAAATAAAAGAAATGAGGGGACCAAGGTAGAGATTAGTGGTACCAGGGCTTGAAATTGCGACTCACTGGTCGCCAATGTGACCAAAAATTGAGCACTGGCAACTAAATTTTCAGAACTGGTCACCAGCTGACGACTCGCGTTTTGTCCGATAACTAAAGAAAACCATGACACAACTTTTGTTTTTAAATCTTTATATAAGGAAATCAATTGGATGTGGTAGCTAGTATACAACTCACCTTTCCGTNGGCAAGTGTCACTTTGCCCTTGAAAATGTTACATTCTATAACTTGGCTGAGCTCTATCCAGCAAGAGGCAAGTGTCACATTGTCTCTTAAAATGCTATCTAGCATAAGAATCTCTGGTGGTAACTCTTACCTGTGCCCCTGTCCAGCTAGTGACAAGTGTTACATTGTCTCTCAAAATGCTATTTCCTGTGGCAATTTTCAACTGTGCCACTCTCCTGTAAGTGGCAAGTGTGATATTGTCTCTCAAAATGTTATCTCTTGTGACAAATTTACCTGAGCTCTATCCAGCAAGAGGCAATTGTCACCTTGTCTCTTACAGTGCTATCTAGCGTAAGAATCTCTGGTGGTAACTCTTACCTGTGCCCCTGTCCAGCCAGTGACAAGTGTTACATTGTCTCTCAAAATGCTATTTCCTGTGGCAATGTTCAACTGTACCCCTCTCCTGTAAGTGGCAAGTGTGATATTGTCTCTCAAAATGTTATCTCTTGTGACAAATTCACCTTCACCCTGTCCAGTCTGTATCAAGTGTGGCGTTGTCTCTCAAATTTTTTATCTACTGTGACAACTTTAGACTATGCATCTGTTTGGAAATTGGCAAGTGTTACATTGTCCCTCAAAATTGTACGTGTATTTCCTGTGGCAACTGTGCCCTTGTCCAGTATGTAGCAAGTGTCACTTTGTCCCTCAAAATGCTATCTTCCGTGGCAACTTTAAGCTATGCCCCTGTCTGGAAATTGGCAAGTCTTACAATTATTATTGTCCCTCAAAATGGTATTTCCTGTGGCAGCTGTACCCCTGTCTAGTCGGTGGCAAGTGTCAGATTGTCCCTCAAAATGCTGTCTTCCATGGCAACTTTCAACTGCAGCCTTGCATGTGTTTCAACTGTCCAGTTGTGGTTAAGATGTTCAAAAGGATCATAGAAAAGGTTGCATGTCTGGTAGTGTGTTATAAATCATTTAAATTTTAAGTAAGAAGGGTGAGAAAGTGTTTCCAAACTGAACAGATTGAGAGGTGAAGTGGAAGTGGAATTACCCTGCTTTACATGTGCATGTAGGCTCCTTTTGAAATCCAGCGACCTACTGACTCTATTAGGCGAATCAGCAAATCCTAAAATCTGTGAAATACAACAAATGCATTCCAGAAAACAGATTTATTTGACTAACAATACTTGCATCACTTACAAGATTAAACTTAAAGCACTGTTAGAAAGTTTGATGTTAGCTCTCTGCTGGACGACGGATGTATGTGTTGTTCTTGCTGTTCATCTATGTAGTTAGTTGTTAAATAACTATTAGGTGATAATATTATGATAGTATTTATCAACAAATTGGTTTTTTTTTGATTCAATTTTAATATTTTCTTAATTTTACTAAATCTTAGGTGAATACATTTTACTTTATATTTTAGTCTCCCTGATTAGTAGAGCACTTGTGCTCAGCTATTAAGACTGAGACTTAAATAAAGTTTTCAGTCATTCATTCATTCAGTTCACTATTAAGTATTTAAATTCAATATTATTTCAAACTGTACACATTGTCTTATAGAGCACTCAAATTTTCAATGGCCGACTGCACAATATAACACCTCTTACTTTTAAGAGTCATGTTGTGCTTGTAATACTTATCCAGTTCCTCATTCCTAGGTAGGGGATTGGGTCAGAAATGGTGATATTAATCATTAATTTCCTTGAGATTTTTTTGTATACTGAGACTAAGCTGCCTTTCTGTATACAGGCCAAGAAAATTTGTGAGGTGGGACTTGAGGTTGGTTCGTCATCAATATCATGTTTGGGAGATCCCTCAATGGGTAAGTGGTAAAACTGAATATGGGAAACATGTTTATCAGTCAAAACAGGTTAGTAGCTAAGAAAATAGTCTCATGGCTAAGATTTTCATTGAGCTGGTCACCATTTTTTGCGAGAGATCTGAGACAAAATTTTCATCCCGAATCTTTTGCAATGCCTTGAATGCAAGGCTACCAAGATCCGTGTTTACATGGTGGTGGACACAGTACTCAGAAAGAGAACACCCTAAACAAGTGCTCAAAACAAGAATTATTTCAATTACATTACTCATTATAGTGGCACTGATACTCAAGGTAGTCAGGAAGTGATTCCAAACTTTTCATTTAGACGGTTGGATATGGTTCAGATATCAAATGATTGTACGTTCGTAACCTAAAAACTGTACGTTGTCCTTTACCGAGTGATCGCCCACCAAAATCCAGCTGGCAATCACCACCTTCTCAGCTGGCAAATTTTGCCGGCAGCCGGTGCTTAGTGACAACCCTGCCATAAAAACAAGCTACCTAGAATATCTTTTTCTCAGTAGGCAGGGTAGGAAAAGAAATTGAAATCCACTTGCCCAGTGGGCTAGTAAATTTCAGTTTCACTTGCGCCCACTAAAATGCTACTGGCTGATATGGCAGCCGGTATGGCAATCAGAGGACAAATGTGAACAAAGTATGCTTGGATTCCTAACTTATTCATGCTTTCAACTCAATGGTTAACTAATCTTGCAGTCTTAAGGTTTGAAATAGCGTCTGGTGGGAAATTATCATTTATCAAGCTGACATTTTCATTCAGACTCGCAAAACTACTGAGGTTAATTTTGCTTGCACTGAACTTCTATTTCCGCTTGCCCAGTAGCAACTTTACTTGCCCCAGGCAATCGGACCTAAGTTTTTTCCTGCCTTGATAGGTATGGTCACTCTCTGATCAATTCATCTTTCTCATGTCATACAATTCTACCAAATGTAGAGTGCTTTTCATTTGACCTTGATAGCATGGTTGTCGACAAAACCTCACCCTTGAGTTTAGTTTGAGCTATGGTTCTAGTTTTGGAGAGGTTTTAATAACATCCTTGTTTACTCAATCAGGAGTATATCTTTGCCGCCATGCTGATGTGATATCCAAGAAACCTCTACTTCCGGGTGTACCAGGATATTTGATTGTTTTCAAAGTCATCAAGGTCTGTATACAACTGTCACTGTTTTTAAGAGAACATTGAAGTACACAAGGGTTTCACAAATTGTGGAGACAATGTCCCTAGATCAGCTTGTATCTTGTGCAACTTGAGTCTGTATCTTATTTTATAAATTCAAATAAATAAATTCAAATATACCAGGGTTTCATTAAGGGCCAGGCACTGGGCAAATTGACCGACTATGAGGAAGGTTTTACCCGCCTGGTTTAACCATCTTGTGTTGAGTTTTTTCTTATAAAGAAGTTCAGTTCAAATAGTTTTGTCGCCTGTGAAAACCAGTTGCCCTTCTGCTCAAAAAGTTAATGAAACCTCTGAATATATAATTTATTACATCCATGGTTACAATTGTAAAAATTAAGATGGCCGTGTGAGTATGGCCTGAAAAAAAGGGTCAGTGACTCATTTCCTTATACAAAGAATCCCTTTTAATGCACTTAACTTGCTAATATGACCTTATTTTTGTGGCCCTTTGGTGGCCAGATTAAGGGGTTTCCACTGTATAGTGCAAGATGCCATGTTCAAAATTTATTATTGCACTATTACACCATTAACCATTAAGTCAGGAAATTATGTGCAAAATATTAGCCCTTATTGTACTGTAGAGTCAGATTTTTTTCATCATTCGCACGCGTGTTATGCAATTGGTATGATTTTTGGATGATGTAGGATGTATTTTCAAAACTAGAAGCTGAAATACTAGAAAATGACATAATATTGGAACAAAAAAAAAACCTTATTTGATGGTTTGACTTGTAATACCTGTGGGCAATTTACTCATTGCTGATATTTTTATTTTCCTACTTTAGCACTTGGAAAAATACCGGGCAACTCTCAAAATATTTGGATGTATTGTATGTTAAACCATCTAATAAGGTGTATATATTTACTATTTACCCCCTTCTCTCTACAGGGTAAAGTGAAACCAGTCACAGAAAGGAGTGGAGCTGTAACAGATCTACTTGAGCCGTCACCAAACTTTAACTGTCATGTGTCACGCTCCATCCAGAGTCTTCCAGCCAACAGTCCACTTAGCCTAGTGTTTGAGTATTCACAGGTCAGTAAGTTGTTGCTTGTACTGTTTTCTTTTGTTGATGTACATTGAATTTTGTATTTAGAGTTTTTAGGGTGTGTTTCTTTGGGCAGTCTGCATCAGGATCAATGATCCAAGCTCACTTGGATCATGGTGCATCAGAAGAGCTGACAAATCTGTGACCAGAGTGGATTCATTAGTTCCTTTGATGTGTTATGATTGCTGTGATCTTAGATCACTGATCCTGATCCAGATAATTAATAACAATATTTAAACGGAAAACGAGAACAATTTGAATTTGAACTTGCCCTTCAGACAAGTAACTCTCAATTTTCGCTTGCCTAGGGCAAGTGCATGCTTATTTTTGTTTCCCTTTTTGTGACTTAATTGGCAAATGACTTTTCTGCACCTTTGTCTGTTGCACAAGTGGATGCAAAAAGTTACCTGCTCCACAGGAAAATCCACTTGTCCCAAAAGAACCAAATGGCACTTTTCGTGAGCCCTGTTTAAGAGTGTAACACCAAAAAAGCTAACATTAAGTTAATTAGGGTGGCCTTCATAAACCACTATTCACAAATTGCAGGGCTGGAAATAACAGTCGGTCATCGGACATTGTCCGACCAAATTTTAAATATGTCTGGCCAATTTCACATTATGATCGGACACAATGTCCGAACATTTCACCAACACCAAGTTATTGTCCATCCATAAAATTTAGTTAGATACATTGTTCAAAGGCTCAAAATTGCGATCGGTACGGTCGCTAATGCGGATAAAATTTCATCTTTGGCCACCAAAAATTCTGGTTTAGTTGGCAGCCGAAAATACGTCTGCGTTTACAGGCTACCATAATGACGATTACATTTCTCTGTGTTGACGATCAATAATGGTTATTTTCTCAGACATTATGTCCTTCCAGAAATACATAGATAGATCTTTGCTTCTATAACATTCAATATAAGAAAAGAAAGCAATCTATCCTTTTGCTTTGTTGTAAAGGATTCCCTCACATTGGAAAACTTGTAAATGGCTGATCGTGTTTGAAATCGCCCTATAATGCATTGCAAACCCTCAAGCATTAAGTACGTCTTGTATGCCTACCGATTGTGTCTCTTGGAATGCCTCAATCTTTCATAGACATTACATTAGCTACCTATACAAAATTAGCAGCCAAACAAGTCTTGGAAATTTTTTCTTTACAAATTTTATGCACTGAGTTCTTTTCTGAATAAAATTCCTACCTGATTTTTATCACTTAGTGTTTAACCCATTGACGCCTGAACGAAATTGCCCGCGACCCACCCCTAATTCCCTGGTGTTTTTTTGGAATATTTCAGAGCGAGCAAAAGCACAAAAATAAACCATATGCGCAGTAACCACAGGCACAAGATCAGGTTTCAAGACATCATTAATTTAAAGTTGAATAATTGAAGGGTCAAAATATTAAAAAA